TCCTTTAGAGCACTTAATCCTAGTTTTAATTACATCTATTTTGGGCAGATTCTTTAATTAAGCATTCACGTCTCTCATTAGGATATAATCTCACTTGAACACTATGGTAGTTATGGTTACGTGTCACCTTGGCTGAGCTTGGTTTTGAGTGGCTGGCCAGCTAGTTGTAGTTATTCCCCACGGTGAGATTCGTAATCAACTCCATGGTGGAATCTACTGAGTAGCTGCCTTAGGGATGTGGTCTGCTTCCAGTATATAAGAAGCACCTTTGAAGGAGGTATCTTTTGTCACACTTGACTCCTTTAAGTAGCCGAGTCATTATTCAGCAGCCTGCCATGTTGTCTGCCCATCTTGGGAACTTGAATCAATAGCCTGCTGTGTGGTTTGGTAATGACCTTGGGTTTGTCAGCCTCAGCAGCCAGCAGCTGCCTGAATGAAGAAAGCCTCTAGCTTCAGCAGGCTGGGAGCAAGAGGCAGAGCTGAAGCCCAAAGTCAAGGGGCTTTCACCCAATCCCTAGAGCCTGGCACTATGAACTTGAACTTCTAGCCCCCCAAACTGTAAGAGAATAAACTCCTGTTTGTTAAAAGTCACCCATTTATGGTATTATATGTTAGAGCAACATGAAGTAACCAAAACAGACACATTTTGCTCAACACTGTATGTGGTGCTTGGCACTCAATATATACAAAATAAATGTAAGTGACTTCAGGAAGAATAGTTGATGTGGAAAATGGCATATTAGAGATTTAAATCTCAATCTCAGCAGACTGAAGCAATGATGGGGATTGTTATAGGAATGATGGAGACTGTTCTCTTCTCTGAATATAGGAAAAATGATTAGTAATTTTAGTGTCCGTGGAACTAGATAGCAATCAGTTTCAGGAAACCCCCAAAACAAACATAAACTAATTGGATTTCTTTTTTATTAGGTTGAAGATAGACTGTCCACTACCAGTTGGGTGATGTCCATATCTTTTTAATGTTGACCATTCCTATGATCAGTTCTACACAGCACACTTTAAAAGAAGATATTTAAAATGAAAGCATTTTAAAACCAAAATAGTGAAAAATATCAAGATCATGCCATGAGAAGAATAGTTCAAGAAATAAGGAAGAAAGCTTAATGGCTGCATGATAACAGCCTTTTCGTATCTGAGGTGTTTCCTATAGAAATGACCCTAGAATGAATATGAAGGAGTTACCTAGAGACAGGTTTCAGCTAATTATAAGAAAGCACTTTTAGAGAATTGAGTCATCCAAGTAAGTCAGGAGGTAGTGAGATTCCCTGGGCTCTGAAGGTGGTTGTAGATTGAGTGACCTGATGTTCAGATACAGTATTGGAGATTCAAGCAACAACGTGGGACTGAACTAGGCAATTTCTGAGGTTCCTTCCAGCTCCAAGAATTCATGACCTATGATCACTGTGATGGAGATATTTTATTACACAGCCTGAGAACACCATTAAGATGATATGGATGAGCCTGAGTATAATAAAATTTTCAGAAGTCATCAGTACAATACAGAGCTCAAATTCATCCTTCATAATGCAGGGGGACACTGGCCTTTGCTATCTGTTGTACCCTTCTATATTGCTATGTCTTTCAGTGACAGTTTTTTCCATGGTGCAGCCAATATGTTTGATGTCAACTTGTTTCTCCTAAGAACTCCTCAACAAGTGATTTGATGATGAAATAATATTACAAGAGAAAGAGAAAATATTATAGAGTGAATAATTTAGTTTTTTTGCAGTATATTGTCACAATATATTTATCCATTCAGCATACATTTGTTGCGTGTCTATAATTTATACATCATTCTTGGTGATATGAGGAGATAAAAATATAAATAAGTCAGATAACTCTCCTTGCCTTCACAAATAACAATGATTATCTTTAATTGTTGTTGTTGTTGTTGTTGTTATGTGCCGTCGAGTCGGCCCCGACTCATAGCGACCCCTCCTTGGGTTTCCGAGGCAGTATCACTACGGAAGTAGGATTGCCCAACCTTCCTTCCGAGGAGTGGCTGGTGGGTTTGAACCGTCAGCCGTCTGGTGAGCAGGCAAGTGTCTGCTATAATTAAGGAGAAGGAGCTCCTCCAGTGGTTAAGCACATGGCTGCTAACTGAAAGGTCAGTGGATTGACCCAGCAGCCTCTGCACAGGAGACAGATGAGACAGTCTGTTCCCATAAAGATGATAGCCTTGGAAATCCTATGGGGCAGTTCTACTCTGCCATATAGTATCACCATGAGTCAGAATTGACTTGACAGCAAAGGGTTTGGTTTCTGTTTGTTTGAATTATTAAGAACTGGGCACTATGAATGGCACTTTGCATTTTTGAGTTGGCCCCGACTCATGGCAACCTCATATGTTACAGGGCAGAACTTCTCCACAAGATTGTCTTGGCTGTAATCTTTACAGAAGCAGACCTCCAGGTCTTTCTTTTCACACCACTGGTGGGTTCTGATGGCCCCTGAGCACATTTCTCCCTATGCTTGTGACATGGAATAGATATATGTGAGTGATTTTTACTGGAAGTCGTGTCTTGGGCTTGATATTTCTCTTAAAAATTCACACTGAATAACAGCAAATATTAAAATTGGACAAGTTGAAACAAAGTTGCATAATACCCTTTCCCACCCTTTTGAATATGAGATTTTCTGGGGAAAGAAGTTGAATAGTTGCCCTTGGGAAAGTCTGAAGGGAGAAGAAAGTCTAAGGTATTTGTCTTGAGAATAATCCTCTCCCAATGAGTTTCATGAACACGGGGTTTATGAATGCAAAGTTTTCCTTCTTAGAGAAGGCACTACCTTTGCAAGTTGCATTGGTTCATCAGACAGGCTTGGAGGGAAGCTGTACGGTTCCTCCCAGAGTGCACTTTGGCTCCTGTCTTAGTTACCTAGGGCTGCTATAACAGAATTGCCACAGTGGGTCACTTTAACAAACAGAAATGTATTCCTTCATAGTTTAGAAGACTGGAAGCCCAAATTCAGGGTTCCAGCTCTAGGGGAAGGCTTTCTCTTCTGTCAGCTCTGGGGGGATGTCCTTGTCTCCTTTTAACAACTATGGGCCCAGTGTTCCGTGGTTCCAACGGATGTGTTCCGCATCCCGCTTTTCTTTCTTGGTGGTACTGAGGTCCCTTTTGCTCTGCTTGTTTCTCTATCTTTTTATCTCTTGCAAAATAAAAGATGATACAGGCTACACCCAGAGAAAACTCCTCTTACATCAGATCAGGGCTGTGACCTGAATAAGAGTGTTATGTCCCACCCTAATCCCTTTACAACTGATGGGCTGATCAGATCACATCACCAGGAGATCATATTGCACAACTGCCAAACAACTGTGAATCACGGCCCAGCCAAGTTGACACATATTTTTGGTGGGACACAATTCAATCCACGGCAGCTCCTTAGAAGGGAAGACAAATATGGAAATAGGGGCTGATATGGCCTTTCAAATTCACCCTCTCATCTCATAGGAAGTGTTCTTAGATCTCTAACAGCTTATGATCACATAGTTTCTTATAAATCCACAAAGGAGGAGTCCTATGAGAAAAACTTGATTTTCTTCAAACGCTACATCTTTCTTGATTGAATACTGCTAAGAAACCAGGACCAGGCAGGGCTTTGGTTTCTGAGGCTTACCACTGATAATGTCTAACTCAGAGTTTTTTCAGCACTTTGCCCCAGTGAGTCCTCCATTGTTTTGTTTCCTCATTTCATCATCCTGATGAAAACTCAAACCCACTGCCATTGAGTTGATGGCAGTGACTCATAGGGACCCTATAGGACAGAGGAGAACTGCACCATTGGATTTCCAAGGCTGTAAATCTTTACAGAAGCAGACTGCCTTATCTTTCTTTTGCAGAGTGACTGGTGGGTTCAAACTACTGACCTTTTGGTTAGCAGTCCAAGGCTTCAACTACTGTGCTACCTGAGCTCCTTTCTTATTAAAAAAAAAAAAAAAAAACCTCACTGCCGTCAAGTCCTGACTCACAGCGACCCTTCCTTGGGTTTCTGAGGCAATATCTCTATGGAAGAAGATTACCCAATCTTCCTTCCAAGGAGCGGCTGGTAGATTTGAACTACCAGCCTTCTGGTTAGCAGAATGCCTTAGGCTCTACACCACCAGTGCTCCCTCCCTTCTTATAGATCTTACTAATTTTGTCTCCAAACTTTGTCTCTGATCTTTCTTAAGCATAAATCTGATGATGTCATGCAGCCACTGCTACTCTCACCTCAAGGGTAGAACCTGCCTTTGTTCACCTGGTGTTCAGCCTTCTGTTATGTTGTTACAGCCTCCTCTTCCTACTGCTCCATTCCAGCACCTGGCACTCCATTCATATTACATCACTAATTATTCCCATATCTCATGTTTTCCACATTTAAATTGTTTTTCAACAACGTTACTTTCCCTTAAGTGTTCTTGCTACCCCATGATTTCTCTTCCATGAAGTCTTACTTGGTTTCCAAATTGAAAATACATCCTTCCTCTGAAATTCAATTGTTTCATTATACTTTCCCTATGATTCCATCTAGCTTGTATTATAATCATGGTACGCATCTTTTCCACCATATCATGAGATTTAAAGCATTACATCTAAACATATTCAAATCCATGCATAAATCCATGCATAAATAAGTTAACCTGTCCTCCAATTCTTGACTCTTTGTCCCAAAATTCCTTAACACTTTTGTGAGAATTTACTGAGAGAATTTAATTTTCATTCCACTTCTTCTGAAAATGGGTTCTAAATTCCACCACTTCCTCTTTCCTTTAAAAAATCCCTATATAGCTTGGCTTTACTCTTAAAAGTTATAGATTGAGTTGTAGATATTTATGTAGAGAGACTTGTAACGGGGAGGAAAACAAGAAATAGTCCTGATCCTTCTAGTTTCTAGCTCATTAATTAATGACTCAGAGTTTGAATTAATGTATTATCAGTATGATTCTTCCTCCCGTCTTTGTAACTCTCCACAGAAAAAAAGGTATTATTAGCCCAATGACCTGGCAAAATCACTCAATATTGATGGAATTTGCATTCATGGCCTATCCGTCCTGCCCAGAGCTTCGGATCCTGTCCTTCCTTGGCATCAGCCTGGTTTATGCATTAATCATCACTGGCAATGTCCTCATTGTGTTGACCATCCAGTCAGAAGCCTGCCTACACACACCCATGTACTATTTCCTGGGCAGCCTGTCAGGGGTAGAAATATTCTACACTGCTGTGGTTGTGCCACATATGTTGGTCAATATCCTAAAGACAGAGAAGACCATCTCTTTCGGGAGCTGTGCCACTCAGATGGTGTTCTTCATTGGACTGGGCAGTGCTGACTGCTTCCTCTTGGCTGCCATGGCCTATGATCGATATGTTGCCATTTTCCAGCCCTTGCAGTATCCTCTCAGCATGACTTTGACTCTCTGTGTACGTTTGGTTGTGGCCTCTGTAGTCATTGGTTTCTTGCTCTCTGTACAACTGGTGGCCTTCATCTTCTCTCTGCCATTCTGCCGGGCCCGGGGCATTGAGCACTTCTTTTGTGATGCGCCACCAGTGATGCAGCTTGTTTGTGCCAACAGCCACTCCCATGAGCACTCAGTGCTGGTGGCAGCCACACTAGCCGTTGCTGTGCCTTTCTTCTTCATTGTCACCTCCTACGGCTTCATAGTGTCTGCTGTGCTCAGGATCCACTCAGCAGCTGGCCGCAGTCGAGCCTTCTCCACCTGCTCCTCCCACCTCACTGTGGTCCTGCTGCAGTACGGCTGCTGTGCCTTCATGTACCTGCGCCCCAACTCCAGCTACTCTCCTAAGAAAGATCAGCTCCTTTCACTGGTCTACACACTGGGCACCCCACTGCTCAACCCACTCATTTACACCCTGAGGAACAATGAGGTGAAGGGGGCCCTTGGGAGAGTTCTTACCAGGAATCACCTCTCCAAAAACAGCTAGTGAAGGGGACAACCTGTAGGAGAGGTTTGTTTTCAACCTGTGCACATGTGATTTCTGTCAGTTGATGTCAAAACTGATCTAAAAATTGGTATAAATTATCTGAATACTGTCACTCTTTATCTATGAGTCCCTGATGGACTAACAGTTAAGCATTCAGCTATTTACCAAATGGTTGACAATTCAAATCCATCCAGAGACTTCTTTACAGAAAGACCTGGTGATCTAGAGCCTTCAAAACGTGGAGCACAGTTCTATTCTGACACACATGAGGTTGCCATGAGTCTGAATCGACTGGATGGCAACTGATTTGGTTTTTGTTTTATTTAGTTTTTAACAAGGAACCTTAAAAAGAGTTGTACCACCTGATTCAGTTATTTCTCTTCTAGGAAAGAAATATATAAACAAATCAACATAAAGTAATATAAAATTGCAAGTATGAGACTCTATCAAGCTATCAGTTGGAAAGAGATGGTTCATTCAAAAGATTTTTAACTGAAAAAAATATATATGGTGGAAAGGTACATTCTAGCAATAGTAGGAAGCCAATATCACACATAGACCTTAAGGGCAAAAGGAGGGCAGGGCATAATCAGAGACCAGTGAACGATAGAGCTACTGTGAGAGGTTACAGCTGGAACTGTGGCATTAGGGGAAGGGAGAGGCAACTCATAACAGAACTGTGGCTACGCAAGGAAAGGTCTGAGAGGTAAACACCTGTCTTCTCTCTATTTTCACCCACCACCTCTTTCCCTGTTTCCCATTGGCCAAACCCAATTGGAAGCAAAAAGGCAGGTGAGACTGGACAATTCAGCCCATTGATGTCAGACGCTGGGGCACAAAGAAGAGCAGAGAAGGACAAAGATTGGATCCTGAGGTTGGAGCCAAGCAGAGAGTCATCAGAAAAAGGCTTTTATATTATAGTATTATATGTAAAAATGAGAATACATTAACAATCCAAATTCCCCATAATAAAGTATTGGTGAAAAGATTATTGACTAAAGGATTATCATGCATCTTTAAATTTATGTTTTCAAATGATAATTATTATTAATAGCTAACATTTGTTAGGGAGATCTGTACCATAGTGCCTAAGGCACTTGACTGCTAACCAGAAGGCTGGC